TCCTTGTGCTCCTTTTTTGTAGCCTCCTCTCCGCGTCTCTTCTCCATCATCTCCTTGTCCTCTGCCTCCCACCGCAATAGTTTCTGCATCCATTCCTCATCTTCAGGCTTGATTTTAGTGCCGATCCACTGCTCAAAATCACAGAGCAGTGGAAGGGTCTACAAAAAATACAATTGTTACAAAACAAAAAAATCATGCAAGATGCCATATGACACAAACATCAATTCCTCGCCATCTTGTTAATGCGGCGCTGACGAAGTGTAGGCTCAAACGCAAAATTGGAACACATCCAATACATCTGTCTATACGTGTCCTCTTCATCGGACTTGGCTACCTTGCAAGGATCGCCGCAAAAGCACATGGGCACTAGAACACCACTAGGCAGAGGCAATGGGTCGAAGGCATTTCCAGTCATCCGGCCATAACTACAATTTAGCCATTTTCGTTCTAAGAACTGAAAGCAATTAACATTAAACCCTGCACCTAGGGTTTCCCATTTGATCCACAACAATGAACCCATATCATAACAACGTGCACTGAGGTTACCTTGGTTTGGTAGCTTTTCCACGCTTTGGCATCCTACGGTTGTATAATATAAATATTAAAATTACATGAAACCCTAAGTAATGACGATTCTTAAGTTGAAAAATCCGACTAATATATACTGAATCGATTTAAAAAAATGAGGAGAGAGCGAGGATACCTTGCTCTCGAAGATCTACGAATCAAATCAAAGTTTTCAAGGTCCAATATGCCGATTCGTGAGGTAGGGCCAAGTGGGGAGAGAAAAAACCCGAGAGAGAGGAGAAAGAAGAGGAAGAAGGCTCGGGCAGGAAGGTTGGGCGCCGGGTTCAAACACCACCTCAACGCCATAGATCTTGGCGCCGTTCTCGGCGCCAAGCTTGGCGCCAATAACCACGGCGTCAAGCTCGGCGCCAAGATCTACGGCGCCAAGGTGCCAGCTAAGTCACCGCCACGTCTGCGTCGAGCCCAAGACCTAGGCGTCAAAATCTATGGCGCCGAGACGTGTAAGCTCGGCGCCACCAACGATGGCGCCGAGTTAAGGGTCCAGATTTTGAAAGCATACCTCCAGGGGCATATTTGTGAAAAACTTTCAAAAAAAGGGCTAAAAACAAAAAAATTGGGGCCAAGGAACTGCTGGCAGGAGGCGTACCGGAAGCTCTTCGCCAACTGCGGTGAGATCATGGCCGACAAGGAGAGGCAGTCGCGCTTGGCGTGGCACCTGGCAGCTACTTCCTGGAGGACTCGGGGCGGTTGCCCTTCCCGTCCTGCGCAGAGGGCTCCAAGACGGTGCACTACCACAAGCGGCTGAGTGAACCAGAAGCAAGGTCTTCCTCGGGTTCTTCTTGGAGACCAACACCCTGTGCCACCAATTGCAGTAAGTTTAGTTTTGTCTCCTGACTTTCAATTCAATTGCAGATGATATGTTTTCTGTACTGAACTTTTTCTTAACGCAATTTTCTATATTATTGAGACTTTGAACTTAAGAGAGCCAGAGACGACGGGTAGGAGATACACTTGGGCTAATTATGCAGAGGTTCCAACTTATAAAAAGTTAGACCGCATTTTAGTAACAACGGATTGGGAACAAAAATTTCCACTAGCCTTTGTTCAGGCTCTTACCCGAGAGATCTCAGATCATACACCTCTTTTATTAGATACTGGAGAACCATCTCACAGAGGAAACGTTAGTAAGTTTAAATTCGAGCTAGCGTGGTTGACAAGAGATGGTTTTTTTGAGTTGGTTAAATACGTTTGGGAATCTGAGAATAGGGATACGTCACCTATGGAGAAATGGCAAAACAAAATTAGAAGGTTGCGACGTTTCCTTAGAGGTTGGGCGATGAATTTATCCTCACAAAATAAGAAACATAAACCTAACTTGTTGTCTAAGATAGATGAGCTGGATAGAAAGGCGAAGATCTTTTTGTTGTCACCTCAGGAGGAGGATCTTAGACATCATCTCAAAGGGAAATTAACTAAGTTGTTGAGAGAAGAGAAGATCTATTGGCTCCAACGATCGAAAACAACAAAGTTATTGCAAGGGGATGATAATACTAAATACTTCCACCTAGTAGCAAATGGAAGACACAGGAAGACAAAAATTGTACAGCTAGAACAAGAAGAAGAAATTGTTGTTGGGCATGCGAATCTGAATAATTATATAACTGAGTATTATAAAGGACTATTTGGACCTCATACACCAAATTCTTTCTTGATAGACGAGACTTTGAGGCATGACATACCTCAAGTGTCGGAGGGGGAGAATGAGATGTTGATAGCTCCATTCAGCGAGGAGGAGGTTAAATTGGCAGTTTTTGACATGGAACATAACAAATCACCTGGTCCGGATAGCTTTCCTGTGGATTTTTATCAATTTTTTTGGGAAGTTGTAAAGCCGGACTTAATGAATCTTTTTCATGAATTCCATGCTAGGAGACTGCCCATTCATAGCCTAAACTTCGGGATTATTACTCTACTACTAAAGATTGCTGATGCGGCCCGAATACAACAATATAGGCCAATTTGCTTGCTAAACGTGAGCTTTAAGATTTTTACTAAAGTCCTAAATAATAGAATTTTGAAAGTAGCGGACAAGTTGATAGGTCTGTCACAAACGGCCTTTATCCCAGGTCGTTATATCATGGAAGGAGTTGTCATGTTGCATGAAACGATTCATGAGTTACATAGGAAAAGACAAGATGGTGTGATTTTAAAATTAGACTTCGAAAAAGCGTATGATAAGTTAAAGTGGCCTTTTATTCAACAGATCCTCAGAAATGGTGTGATTGGATTTCAAAGGTCATGTCTAGGGGAAGTGTTGCAGTAAAGGTCAATGACAATGTAGGTCATTATTTCCAAACTAGGAAAGGAGTGCGGCAAGGGGACCCGTTATCTCCTATTCTATTTAATATAGTGTTCGTTGATACGCTGGCTATCCTTATTTCACGAGCTAAAGAAGCAGAATATATCCGTGGGGTCGTTCCGCTTTTGGTCGATGAGGGACTTTCAGTTCTTCAATATGCAGATGATACTGTCATCTTTATGGATAATGACCTAGAGAGGGCCAAAAACATGAAGCTTTTGCTTTGTACTTTTGAGCAGCTGTCGGAACTCAAGATCAATTTCCATAAGGAGTGAACTGTTTTGCTACGGAGCAGCCAAAGCGAATCAAGTTGATTATGTACAAATTTTTGGGTGTGATTTGGATTTGTTATCGTTTAGGTATCTGGGTATTCCTATGCATCATAGAAATCTCATGAATAAGGACCGGAAACATGTTGAAGAACGTTTTCCAAAGAGGTTGAACTGTTGGAGAAGTAAGATGTTGTCAGTAGGAGGGATGCTAGCCTTGCTTAACTCTGTTTTAAGCAGTCTCCCCATGTTCATGCTTTCCTTTTTTTAATTACCTAAATGGGTTTTGAAGAAGTTGAACTATTTCAGGTCACGGTTTTTTTGGCAGAACGATGAACACAAGAAGAAATATAGATTGACTAAATGGGAGGTAGTCTGTACACCGAAAGATCAGGGGGTTGGTCGTCTTAAATTTAGATGTTCAAAATAAGTGTCTCCTAAGCAAATGGCTTTTTAAGTTGCTAAATGGAGATGGGGTTTGGCAACAATTACTTAGGAATAAAAATCTATAAAACAAGACCCTAACACAGGTTCAATATATGCCTAGGGACTCTCAATTTTGAGCTGGTCTCATGAAGGTCAAGGGGGAGTTCCTCTCGTTAGGCAAGTTTGAACTGATGGTTCTCAAGTACGATTTTGGGAGGATGCATGGATAAGAACACGGCCTTTAAAATGGCTTTTTCGTGCACTGTATAATATTATTAGGAAAAAAGGTGTGTTTGTGAGATCGGTGATGTCTATGACACTATTAAATATGACTTTCAGGAGATTCCTAGTAGGTGTTAATTTACAAGCATGGCACCAGGTGGTTGCTATGGTTGCAAATGTACAATTAACAAAACAGAGGGATCGCTTTGTGTGAGGGCTACATCAGAATGGATTGTTTTCTGTCAAATCCATGTACAGTGCCTTATTAGGATCCGAAGCTATACCATATAACACATTGACATGGAAACTGAAACTACCTCTTAAAATCAAGGTTTTTTTTGGTATTTGTATAAGGGAGTAATCTTAACAAAAGATAATTTAGCAAGACGACAGTGGCAAGGAGATACGAAGTGTTGTTTTTGTTCCTCCGAGGAGTCCATACAACATCTACTTTTTATTGTTATTTTGCTAAATTTGTGTGGCGAACTATTCATGTTTCCTTTAATTTAACACCTCCAACTAGTGTACACCATATGTTCACAGACTGATTGGATGGGTTTAATAGAAAACTGAAATCCAAGATTCTTATGGGTGCGAGTGTAATTTGTTGGATTATATGGTTAACCCGGAATGATATAGTTTTTGACAAGGTCTCAGCACAATCTTATTTGCAGGTTATCTTTAGGGGGACTTACTGGATCAGGTTATGTTCCCTACTACATAAGGAGGAGGATCGCCAAATGATGAAGATGGGTTGTAGGAAGATTGAGACAACCGCGATATGGAGGTGTTTGCAAGAAATGATTGAAGATTCAGTAATAGAATCGCGTTTTATATGTTGCCTTGGGAAACTTTATCTTCTTCCTCTTTTACTCAAAACTTTGTTTTTAAGATTGCTTGGACTCTTGTGTTTATGCTTGTAATAAGGATCAGCTATATGCATTAGTCGATGCAGAAGCTGGGATATTAATATATTCTTTTTTTAAAAAAAATACTGAGCTTCACGTTATCTTCTTTGTCTTCGTTTGATTTATTCGTTCAGGGCTGAAGCTTTCAAACAAAAGACCGAGAGACTCGTCAATGACCTGACAAGGACATCGAAGTCTGCTGAGGAGAAGCTCGACGTGATCAAGGAGAGGTCAGATCAGATTATCAAAGAGTCTGGTAAAGTTCAGGACACACTGTCATCGGTCGAAATGCAAGCCGACAACCTGGCAGAGGCGTCAAAGCACGTCGGGGACCAGATCAACGATGTCCTGGTTCACTCAAAGTCCATCTTTGAGCAATCCAAGGAGATCGCTACCACTCAAGCAGAACTGAGTAAAGGGCAAATGGAGATGTGGGGGCAGATTGAGGCCGGTATGGCACGTATTGAGGAATCATATGAAAGACTAGCAAATGGGATGGATAAGCTAAAAGAAGAGACTGAATATATACAAAGGGAAATTAAAAGTGCTTTTGAGTCAATGTCTTCGGAGATACAGGATTTGCAGAGCACTGGCGATGACATTGGAAGTGTTGCTGGCAAGTCACTGGAGAACCAAATGCAGCTACTGAATGGACAGACCCAGGTCATGGATGGACTGAATAAGCTCCACGGCTTTCAAGCACAAGCTCTTGAAGAAAGCAGGTATTATTATATTCGTATGTACCGTTCATTTTGTATTGTTCTTGAATTTCGATAAATGCTTGCTGCATGGTCTAATAGAAAAAAGATGTTGACTAAGTTATCAATGGCAGGGAAACAATTCAGAAACTTGCACAGTTTGGCCAACGTAAGCAGGAAGAGCTACTGTCCCGGCAGGAAGAAATCCGGCAAGCTCATGAGCATCTCATCCAAAATTCTCACTCCATACTGGAAGCACAGGTTCGTTCTTATATCTCATTTTGATGATATGACTAACTTTACATGTTCGCTTATATTTACTGAACTTTTTTTCATATACACAGGAAGAGTTCAGAGCAAAGCAAGCTAACATTTTTGCTGCTCTGGACAAGTTGTACATTCTGCACAATGCTATTCTAGCCGAGTCTCGCTTCATCGAGGCCTTCTTCTTCTATTGCTGCATTGTGTTCCTCATCTACATGCTCACCAGTGCAAAGCAAACGTTCAGCATCAGGGGCCAGCTCTATTTCGGTACGATTTCACTACTGAAATCAAGAACTTGTTGGGTACACTTAATCTGAATTCCCAGTTTCCCACTTATCATAAATTAAATTTAAATGCCCATCTCACTAACATTTTGCCCCGGCAGGTCTGTGCATTACACTTCTGTTGGAGATTGGGTTGATCAAACTCGGTGTCGACGACTTCGACAAGCAGTTCTGGGTCATGTCCAAGGTGTTCTTGGTCCGAATGATGTTCCTCGGCGCTGCCACTATTCAGATCCTGCACTCCATATTCACCTACAGGTAGGTGATAAACAAAGGCCTCTACTACGGTACTAGTATTACACAAATGCACATCTACACCCTCAGTGATTGGCCATAACTGCAATTTTAACTTGTGTTAATCCTTCAGGGACTACGAGGTTCTGAACCATGGGCTGCTCCTCCAGACATTGGTGGAGAAGGTCCAGGCACTGGAGGAAAAGGCCGGCGGGAGGGCGCTGTCATACGGCTCGGAGGAGGAGGAGGAGAGCTTGAGGGACTACTCGTGGGTCTTCGACGAGCTGGCAGACGAGGTGGACAGCAAGATGGACCCAACATATGTCTTGCCGCCGGAGTGGTCGCCTCCAAACCGAAGGCGCAACCAAGTCATCATGGCGGAGGAGATCGGCGAGAATTCCATCACGATGTCGGTCTCCCGGAAGTACAATCTGCGGCCACGGAAATAGGCAACGGTCTGTTTTTTAAGTTCGGAAGGAGCTATTTTGAGTGTGGCGTCAGATGTTGACGAAAATTTTATTTACAAGATGTTCTAGCACATTTTCATGAAGGTACGATTGTGAAATAAAATTACGCTGCAAAAATCCTGTATGACTAAACATTGCGCGGCTTTGCCGTGCAATGGTGTTGGCCGGTGTATCATTGCTGATGGGGCCAGGTGAGGTGTATATTTGGTCTCTTCACTCGTTGCCCATAACTTGTCTGATTGGATCGCTCGGTTGTATATTAAACCCATGCTTTAATCAACCTAGATCCCATACTGAGTGAAGAAATTACTTAGACCAAACTGAGCACATAGTTAAGATTAATAGGAGCGAGTACTAAAATACTGCATATTCATAAGGTGAAGATATAACTGTCATGGTCTACCAATCAAATGAGATCTAGTACAATAGCAGAGTAGTTGGTCTTTGCCACGAAGCTAGAAAAGCTATTTTTGGAAGTGGTGTGATAAAATTACCATGCAAAAACCACGGCAGGAATCACAACCCTTGGGACCAAAGAGATACTCCAGCACCACCATTGTATTTCTATTGTATTCTTCAGATTTTTACCGGTAATGCCAAATCTAGTAGTTGCAAAAATATGAATAACAGTTTAAATAATCATAATGCAAGTAATCAAATAATGGGGGAACCGATTGCAGCTTATACATGTCTAAATCTTGAAACCTATTTCTTCACTTTCTTCATTAGAAAAAATGTTGAATGCCTTCCATCGACAGGTTATATGCGGGCCGATACAGAAGTTTAAGATACATGCAACATAGAAGTTGAATGTACATGCAATTGTTCAGCATGGGAGTGGCTAGTTGAATCAAATATCATGAGCGTAACTTTCAAAAGAAAAAAAATATATATCATGGGCATAAACCCCTCCTGGGTTATAGAGGGTATGCATACGTGAAAGCAAACCCAATAGCATACACCTGATAGTGGTCTGTTCAATAAAATGATCTAAGATTGCAGTCACATTTAGGCACGATTAAATTGTTTTTTATTTTTATAGAAAAAAGCTAATGGGCTTAGCTAGGTTGCTTGATGGATTCAGTCCATTCACAAACCACTGAGGAATGATCGATATAAGAGAAAAGTCATACACATCATCAAGTTATATGTTTGATGCATCCACTTACATTGGGCCACCAAATCAGTGATCCAAACATAATATGAATTTGATGCAACTGCATAAATGACAAAGCCTGAGGCTTTTTCATCACGGTGGCTATCCGTCTCAGGCTAATCACCTTTCTCTTAAATGATTATGTAGATTTTAGAAATAAAAGCCCGCAAACCAAATTGGTCTGGGCTAAGGATATTCTTGACTGATTTGTTTTTTATATTGAATGAATTGAAATCCAAATGAGAAATGACACGATTTGGTCAGGATTAAATAAACTGTCCTGTCCATGTATATGAGTGTGTCCAAATTCTTAAAAATCTGTAAGGTCTCTAGAATTGAGAGGAATTCGAGAGGCAGAGATGTTCTCCCAGCCGGTAAGTTGCTCGTTTTGGGGAAGGGGAAGAATTCTGTTATGTTTTTGCTTGTCTTACAAAGTCGTTTTCCCTTCTATGTATCACTCGCTGCTGGGATTGTTAGGCGTTACAAAGTCGTTTACAGTTTATTTTCAATCCTGTTTTTGGCCTAGACCTTTACTCTTTCCCTTTATTATAATTACTATAAAAGGTTCTCTGCCAGTTTTACATAAAAAAAAATATATAATTTAACTGTCCACATACTGCAGAATTATCTGCCTGCTGCCCAGGAAAATATGAACATGCCGTGTCGAGCCTTCGTTATTTTTCTACTATTTGAAGTTACATTTGTCGGAGGAACAACATACATGTATGTTTAGAAAGGTTTGTTTGTCTTGCTGGTGTTAGTTATGCTGAGCGAAGACTCCTGGTACCGATTCAGCTCTCCCCAGACTAAGTTTTCAACGTCCTCCCAGGACGTTGCAGCCCTCAGCTCCTTCCACAAGCCGAATATAGCTCCCAAGACATTGTCCTCGTGTAGTATACAGTAGCACCTGCAAAAAAAAAAAAAAAAAAAAAACTAGATGAGAATGTTGCTACTGTATGCTGGCAACTCTGAGTGCATACTGGGTGCATTGTTTGTCCAAAGGGCAGCCACCATTTTGCTACTTCCACTGATGTGGTGTATCAGTGGCGCAATCGCTCATAAGAAAACATGATGGATGAGACTTCTGTTGAAAATCCTATGTGTAACACTAGTGACTTTCAAAGTGCAAAGAAATTGGAGAGAGACACAGCCAAACCCGTGGCAATAATCCATTGACTTGGGATATAGATATAGCAAACAGAATAGTAAAATGTACAAGGAGAAAGCACTGGATTCTGAAACATGCAAAAATCTACTTACATTGCGCGATATGATGCCCTGCTGAACTTCGAATTTTGCACTGATTTGTAGACATCAGTAATTGATTCCCCCCTCAGAAGGGGAAGTTGATAGCTCCGTAGGAATTCCTTGAGAAGGTCAGTATCACCCCGGAAAATATCCAAGTGCAGCGGAATTATGTCACATATAGGATCCCCTGCTCACACAAAAAAGAAATATCACAATATAATTGTAACCTTCACTTCAAACTCGAAAAAATTGCACATATACAGATAATGTTTCATCTTTTTGGAAACAAAACAAAAAAAAAACAATCTGAAATTTCAATGTTTCACACAACGAACCAGGCCACAGTACAGAAACCAAAGCTGTCCAGGTTCAGATTATTGCTTGACGAGGGTTATGCAAACTCCAGTTATTACATCTTTAGTTTCATCAGTCAGTGACGCATGGCACGAACACAAAATGCCTTTCTTGTGTAGATATGAAAATGTAATCAATGCTAAAAACTAAGGAGCAAAGGTAATTGTCAGCTCACCGATGGACAGATCACTGAAATCAATGATTTGAATTGCATTCATTTTTTCCTGATCTGCTTCATAAACTCTTTCCCTCTCACCAGAAGAATTCAATTTTGTGATCCCCTCAATAAGAATGTTATCATCCATTATATCTGAATGTATCCAAGAGGGGCATGGGTACACCAAGTCACCATCATCCTGTTAATTCAATCAGCAACCATCAAACCTAATGCTTGACACAAGTGACAAAGAAGACAAAAAATGCAAATTTACCTTAACAAACTTGAAGAGGAAGCCCATATTGGGAGGGAGATATTCTTCAGCCTTTTCTACTAGAACTTGTGGAACAGAGTCCCCCCTACGCAGACAAGGTAGAAAAAAAATCATGTTCATGTATTAAATCATGTTATCAAATTGAGTAGTAACAAAAAACATCGCGATTGCATATCCAGCTGAGAGAAGTCTATGCAAATCAATGCATAATTGCAACCACAATATTGTTCATGCGGAAATTTTAACTGTTAAAAACTAAATGTGATAAACCCATGATTCATCGAAGACCTATCTAACATAACTCTGGCAATGTTATTGGAAGTCCAAGTACAGTGGGTGCAAAATCATAAGTTTTTTTTATGAGCCTTTTTATACTTTGATTAAATTCTTATTTCACTCTGGTTGCAACTTGCAACTTAAGATTGAAAAATGACATGCTCTACACAAATAGAAACCAGAGAAAGAAACCATAGTGTTTTAGTGACCCCTTCAAAGATTGGTGGCGCAAGACCATGAGAAGAGTTAAAAGGAGCACAAAAAAGGAGTGAACACTCTAATTATTCTCGACGCCTGGATTATTTGGAAACATAGAAATGCTTGTGTGTTTGAGGGGGCTACTCCTTTGGTTAACACGATTTTGTGTGAGCTGAAGGATGAGCACAGCTTATGGTGAATGGCTGGTGCGAAGAAACTGCAGGGGCTAGGGCTTACTATTGCAATCTAGGGCAGTTGAGCTAGGTTGAGTCGTGTGTGTTAGCTATGTGCAAGAGTTTTGAGTCTGTGCAATTGGCTGACTCATATTTGGTCCCCGTATGAGTGAGGATCCTGTTGAGGACCACCCCTTCTCTTTAATACAATGAAACACAGCTCTCCTGCATTTTCAAAAAAAAAAAATGTCCGAGTAAATATGTCTCACATCATTCTCACTCACCAGTTAGCTAGGTGCTTCTTTACATTTTGCTTTCTCCTATTTAGAGTAGAGACTAGTTGCTGCCATTCAGGTAGAACCGTGGCATCATCACATGTTCCTACCACTTCTTTCACATCATTGTTCCCAGATTCAGATACATGCTCCACAGGTGGCAGGGATAATAGATGTATGTTTCGCAGTTGAACTCCCAAGGATGATGCAAGATGAAGAATATCAGTCTTTGACAGCATATCACGGCTGAAAAAGAGCAGGTTGACAAAGTCATGAACTCATGATCATTACACAACTATAATTTTCTTGGGAGAACAAAAACCTGTATACTTACAACAACAACAACATAGCCTTTCAGTCCCAAGCAAGTTGGGGTAGGCTAAAAAAAAACCTGTATACTTACATGCGAGCAAAAATATCTCCTTTGCACTTTCTCGTAACCATGTAAGGCCAAATTGGTCTGTCTGAAACGTCAGCTGAACTACTCATTCCAAATCGTTGCTTGCTCCAAAGCCCAAGAGGAAAGCAGCTGTTTGCATAAGAAACCTCCAATGGGTAGTGTTTAACCAAAATTTCTGGTATTCCTTTTCCATTCCATGGAACTGTCCTGTAGCTATCATCCTTATACTCAAGGAAGCCACTAGCAATTATCTCAGGAATGTGATTGATCAAAGGTGAACCACTTTTTTGCAGGAGATCATAGAACTCAAGCTGCAGCAGAACAATCAAGTATCACCATAACAGAAATGACATTCTGAACCACAAGAAGTTGCAAAAAAGCCAATAGCCCAATACAATACCTCTGTGCCCAAACCATGGACAGCATAAACTAATCCTCCTTCAGCATATATTTTAATCACATTGCCCGAGA